GGAACACCCCATCTCAAGAGTGAGTGTTTTATGGCCATGTAATTTAGAAATACACAGTCAACATGGCCTGACAGTGCAGATTTGACTAGTTGAAGCATATTTTGTCAGACAACAGAGATGGGCAGCTATCCTCCTTCTGAACTTTACCCATGGAGTCTATAGGGTGAGTAAGGTCCGAGAACCGAGCATATTAATTAAGCATATACATCACGAGGAAAACCTACAAGCAATCTTGTGGAACACCCCATCTCAAGAGTGAGTGTTTTATGGCCATGTAATTTAGAAATACACATTCAACATGGCCTGACAGTGCAGATTTGACTAGTTGAAGCATATTTTGTCAGACACCACTCGCCACAGAGTGGGATCCAGACAGTAAAAAAAGGAAAAAGCCCTTGAAAAAAAAGAATATATATATATATATATAAGATAATTTACCCAGCCAAAGTCTCACCAAAGTCTGAAGAATGGCCACAGGGATAATTGAAAAATCGAGCACGAGGACAGAGGTTCAAATGGAGGAAAAATGAGGCAGTGAAAAACCGCATTAGCATCCCATTCTGGAAGGACTGCATGCTGAGGTGAAAGACTAATCCGGAAGGAAAACAACAATAGGAAAAGGTATGAGATGTAAAAACTTTACAGTACCTGGAAAAATGAAAAGTGTGGGATTAGGCAGCTATGTGAGGTAACAAGTACCTACACCAGGCTGTGAAGCAATCTCCAGCCACGTGACCTCTTTGTTCTATACTGCGTATATATATATATATATATGTATGTATATTCATGTGTTTCTGTAAAATACTTGTACCTGAGGATGATACAATCTTGTCAAAACGTCATACATTTATAATAAAAGTATTTTCATTACGCAGTCAAGCCATATGCAAACTATTATTTTCTAAAAAGTGGGTTCCTCATCATAAAATTTAATTAAGCTACTCTTTGTTCATGTTATACCAATTAGTAAAGCATGTCTTGCCTTTATGCTGTCGTTATAACTGCAAATGGTGGCATATTTTAGGCATGATTCTTTTCAGGGTTTACCCCTGACGTTGGACAATGTCATTGGTAATGGTGACACTGTCCAGTTTGACTGTGTTTTTAGCTTTTTATGAGCCTTTGGCCTTTTTCACTCTACTTAATCTTATTACCTGGCCTTTGGGCATTGTTTGGCATTTAACTTGTTTTCTTTTAACATTTTAGAGTATTTAACATCTGACATTTTACTGGCTGTTTGGTGCAGATAGCCCTGTTGCTTTGCACCAATAAAGTCCAATCAACCAACGTTACTTTTATATTAAAAAACATCTTGAATTAATTTCACCTATTGTGACAAATTTGACATTTTTTCTCTAAGCATCCCTCTTCTCCAATTTATTTACTACCCCTCCAAAAAAGTACAAAATTTAAGTCTCATTCACAACTTGTATATAATGGCACATAGCCTAGGCACACGCATTGTAAGAAGTCAAGTTCTTGGTGAGGATCTTGTTCTTCTTTAGCATTCTTGACCCTGACACTGAGATTGTAAAAGTTTGCTGGTGCATGTACACATACAGTAACATGTTGCTATCCTAGACCCATGAACATTGTAGCTTATATAAACACTGGGTAGTGTATCTGCTACATCCATTTAGCAAGGTTTTTTGTAGGAAAATTCAATAATGTGCAAGTCATTTTGTCCGAGCCACAAGTCAAGTTCAAAGTAAAAAAAATTGTGACTGGAGTCCAAGGGCACCCAGAATATAACAAGTTATTAGCCATACTTGTAAAGAATGAACCCAGTAAAGGTCAAGAGTGTGGAAACAGAGAGAGCTAGACAGGGTGTCTCACTAGTGATTGATATAGGAGACAATTGCAGATATTCATCACTTGACATCCATGAACCAAAATAAGTAAGAAAGGCAGAAGGATAATTGTGGAGGACAAAGGATCCCAAGTATTGATCCAGTGATTGTGCAGAGTCCATTGCAGATGGTGCAAATGAACATGACCCAAGGGGATACAGGATTCAATGGAAACCCAAGTCCTCAAAGAGAGAGAACATCCCACATAGTGAAAGAATGAGGATAGAGCATGGGAAACTAATCACTCCATGTCCCTCAAAAAATGAGCATAAGGCTAAGTCCTGTAGATATGCAAGTTGAAAAAAACACCCAAATGAATAAAAAGCTAAATTGGTTTGAGATGCGACTTCTGCAAGTTAACCAACCAGCCCGATACTCCACCTCTCGAAAAAGAAGAAGAGGATGACTGTAGGAGGCTTGTTGAGACAGAACCAAATGAGAAAATAAGCATCCAAGACATCCACGTATAGTAAAAATGTTTTTTTCTACTTCATTTGAATTTTGTATGTTTGACTTGTATTTGTTCTTTGTGTAATCTATTTTAAAAAAATAATAGTCTTTTTTGCTATAATTAAAAATAGAAACAAAAGAATGTAATATGAATATAACAAAAAAATACTTATAAAATTTATGAAATAAAGAATTACTTGAAATATGTATTATAAATGGGTGGGGATATTACAAGTTCCACTCACATTTTTACACATAAAACTTTGTTTCAGAAAGCACATTAAATTTATTACTTACCTTCATTAAAATATTATTTTTAAATATCTGCAGTCACACAATTATTTTTTACACCAAAATTAATTATCAGAAAAGGACTTACCTTTGTCTTTTCCCAAACTTCATCTCAAAGAATACTACTAAAAATTTTGTAGCCTAATTTTCCTTAGTGTATTATAACAATGAACATGGATATGATATTCCAGTATAAATCACAATAACCTATACGACTTACTTCATTGACAGGTCTGCCACCTCTGCTATCTCCTTGTTGTCATTTTCTGGGGTAAAAATAACATCTGAGCCACACGTTTCACGCTGCATAACTACCTAAGTCTGTGGAAAACATAAAACAAGATATACATTAGTTAGTAACAACTGAATTTTGCTTGATTGTGAAAAACATGAAAGTAATGTATATCATAAATATATATCTTATGCACAAACATACATATATACATTTTTCAAATATGTACCAATCTAGATCAAGGTTATAACCAGTCAGCTAAAATGAATTTTCAGAAAACATTGCATTTTTCAATTTTGTATTTTCAATATACTTTGAAATTTAAAATCTACACTTGTGCTAATAATTACATTTCCTAAGATAAAATTAAAGGAGAGAAAAACATACATATATGTAACAGAATAATGAAACACCATTTAAACATACTATTTTCGTTTACTGTTTCAAGCCTCGAGAGCCCCAGCAAAAAATCTGTGAGAACACTTCTGCATCACTTCTGTACCAGGTATACTCTACACTCAGTGTGGAAATAGGTGTCACATACATGGGAAAAAAATGGAAGGAGTATAAACAAAAAGGGAGAGACAACCAGTAGGGTCGGAATCCGAATCCCAGTACATTGGAAGCTCAATCCCATAGAAGAAAGACTGTACAAGAACAATCTATAGATATCTACAAAAATAGAAGTGCTCCAAGGTGTTGAGAGGCTAGGGTGCTAAGGTGCTTACGCGCCGGTCAACTCCAGTCCAGAACCAAGTGGTATGGGGAACAGAACCTCTAACTCATGATTGGAGGGTCCACACCATCTTCATCTGAAGCTAAGTAGAAGGGAAGAATATACTGTGCAAACCGATCTATGAAACGGGCGAAAGTGCAAATCCACAACCAACCACACATCTGGGAACCCGACATCCGAATGATGGTAGGAAGAGATGTGCCCATGTAGCAAGTCATATCAAACTGTCAATCAGACAGGCACTCTACTGCATAACAGCAGCCTCAGGCAGTGAAAACACCCTGAGGTGAAGCTCAAGATGAAGAACTGTGGCCCTGATCAACATCGTTCTGCAAACAGGACTGCACAGAAGCCTAAGCACAAAGCCACCCTCCAGGCCCCATTGCACAAAAGTATATCGCCTCTATAAATATATAACAACCTCACCCTCCAGATACAACTGCATAGAAACTGGATGCAACATCAACCTCCAGAACCCACTGCACAGAGGTGGAGATCCTGAGGCAAATTGAATGAGGAAGAGGTAACACATCCAACACGTGTGAGGATTTATGTTGATTGGTCTATCTCTAATCCAAAACTACTCACTGGAAACTGAGATCCAGGTAATGGTAGGATGTGGGATCCCAATCAAAGGGGTGAACTGCAAGGTGACAATCTACTCCAAAGCAACAATATCTTCCAGATAGGAACACTCAAAGGCTGAAGCAAAATAGCAACCTCTGGGCCCCACTGCATGGAAATGGATTGCATTCATGAAATATAAGCAGCCTACTCTCTGAATAGAACCACACAGAAGCTGTGTTCAACATCAGCCTCTGAGATCCACTGCACAGAGGTTGAGCATATGTATTTGTAGAAATGCTATCAACCCCCGGGTATGACCACACAGAAACTGGAGCACAACATCACCTTCCTGGTCCCACCAAACGAAAGTGGATGACATCTAGAAGATATAAGCAACCTCACCCTCCAAATAGAACTTCACAGAAGCTGGGTGCAACATCTACCTCTGGGACCCATTGCACCAAGGTGGAGTGCATGATTGGAGGATCACACGCCATCTACACCAGTAGAACACCACCTCTCTACTGAGTGCAAGCAAACATATTAAAGAGGACTCCTCCAAGGTCCACCACCCCAGCACCTTGAAACTGGAAAGTGGCAAGGATTTCCATACTCCACTAGAAGAACAAGAGGGGATAAAATGCAGTGAAGAGTCAAGAAAAATGCCAACACCAGAGACAGTATAATTGGTGACCACAAATCCCTATATTGAAAACCAAACCACCTCTGATTTATTCAAACAAAGAAACGGCAGGGATGGATGGCTATATCCTTATGCTTTACCCTTGTAAGTGCATGGGTTAGTCCAGTACAGAACAGCATATTATTGAAGCAAATATATCACAAGGAAAAACCTACTAGCGATCTTGTAAAACACCCTATCTCAACAGCATGAATTATTAGCCATGGGCATATTGTCTGGCCGTACAATGCAGATTTGACATACAGGAAGCATACCTGGACAGGAAAGAAACATTTGCCATTGAGTGGGATCTAAATCCTAATTGGGATATGCTTCTAGAAAGAAAAATCTACATGAAAAAGATAACTTACCCAGTTACAGCCGCACAGAAGTTTGAAGGGTAGCAACAGACAGAAGGCAGTAGCTGACAAGGAAGAAACAGCTACCCAATGAAGATAGTGGGAGACAAATGTATGAGGAGTAGGCCACAAGCCTGACTGAAGTTTACTCCAGTGGAGGATGGAGGTGAGACTCCAGGAAAAGGGAGTGTGCTCAATCTTAAGTGAAGACACCTGGGACAGATTTGCGAAGAATAAAAAGAAAGGGAGGAACAGACCAATAGAAGCAGTTAATGATCCCAAATCATAAGGGTAAAAGAAGAAAGGTTACACACAGATGAACAGTGCCAAGTAATGAAAAGGTGGAAACAGGAGCCATTAAAGGAGGCCATGCAGGCAATGGAGCAACAAAAAGCACATACAGGACACAGAAGTCTATCTGGAGCAGACTGGGAATAAACATGGGAAATGGATGGAAGAGAAAACAATGAAAAGGAATAATGACTCTCATGAGCCACCGAAGTTTTGATTAGGAAAAATCAATCAGGAATAACCACACAATGAAGAGATTAACAAATCTGAAAGAAACGTAAATGGAACCAGCTGGTCAAGTTTTGACTGAGAAAATCTATTGCCAGGGTCTGAGGGTGATGAACCAGAGACAAAAAAAATTGCTAACTTGATGTTGGAGTAAAGTGACAAAAGCATCCATGCGAGGAGTAACCCACAAATTGCATAGTCACCTGAAAACCTGAGGGTCAAAAACTCACTCAATACAATGAACCTAGATGGGCTTGAAAAAACGATCCGCCATAAGGTGAAAAGCACCCGGAACATGACACACAATGAGATATATCTACAGTGTATGGACCCAATAAAGGTGGTCCAATATTCAACCACAAAGGGAACAGAAATGGGTGCCCTTATAGTGATTGAAATAGGCCACAACGATGGAATTGACAGAATAGAATATGGCGTGTTGGTACTGTAGCAGTGGAAAAAAATTATCCAAAGCATAATCTCCAAGATGTTGAAATGGTAAGACACTACAATCTAAGACCATTTCCCAGAATCCTCTTGCTGATGGACAACACTCCTCAATCTTGGAGAGATATCATCTGTGATTCAATGCAAATCTGGAAGAAGTGGTGCTCCCTTCATTGTGCTGTCCTCCTTCAACCACCAATGCAGATAGTCATTAACCCGTTACCTGCCATGGCCATTTTGTCTTATCGTGAGGGCAAAATCACATTTCTGAATTGAAAAAATTATAGAGAACTATCTTTTATTGGATTTCAGATTTTATTTTTGTAAATAGTAGCATAAAATTCAATTATTTGTACAAAATTGTATTATTTAATGAAGTTTAAAGAGAAATTTAATAAAAAAAATCCCAAAGTATGTTTGAGACTATAAATAAGAACCCTCTAAGAAGAAAATTTTTTTCACAATTTTTCTTTCCTCTTCAGCACTGGTCCTGCCATCTATGATTGGGATCTAAACCTTTTTCTAGTCTGTTTTCATTATAAAACAGCGTCTGGGCATGTTAAACCTCAGTTATAATAAAACTTTTAGACAATCCTAGTCAAAAATGTCAATTTCAGTACCATGTTGTTCCAATCGCTGTATTTCAGGTTTGACAAATTATAGGATGATAAGCAAAGCATGTGACAAAAGGTTGTTCTCTCGATTTTATGTGGGTGGTGCTTATTATAGTAACTGCCATTTTACGTAGAGGTTGTATTTAGTATTGGTCAATAGTACTTTTCTATAAGCCTTAGAAAACTTGCTTCTGGAAAAAATTGCATGGGATGTATGTGACTTTTATTATTTTTCTATAGTAGCTTAAGTCATATTGTATCGTATGTCTATTTATATTAATCATTATATTGAAAAATTAACTCAAAATAGATATATTTTCTAGGAAAGAAGTTGATCCACGATTGTTAAAGTTAAAAGCTATTGAGTGGTGAGTGCAAGGTCTTTACATGAATTAGGCTTAGCACTTTGAACTGAAAGAGTTTGTGATTTTTTTATATTCTTTTGCATTTAAATTAGTAATTTTAAATTCAATAATTTAGCATAATTTTACATTTAGTTCATAATAATAATAATAATATGATTCAGTATTTAGAATGATAAACTTGTGTGATTTGTACATAATACTACTAGTACCACATAAGAATTTTATATTTTTCCTTCTTACAATCTTTACTTTGTAGTAAGACACACACCTCTGTTGTTGATTTAGAATTAAAACAGTCTAAATTATATATATATATA